CTTATTTTCCCTGACCTCTAAGCAGCATTTGATATTGGCCATTCCTTTCTTCTTGAAAAGCTTGCTTCCCTTGGCTTTTTTGACCACACACCTTCTTGGTTTTGCTCCTATTTTTCAGGTCTCTTCCTCTCAGCCTCCTTTGTGGGTTCCCATTACTCAGCTTTCTCTTGAATATTGGTGCTTCTCAGAGTTTGGTCTTAAGCTTTCTCTCTCTCCCTCTCTCCCTTTTTTTTAATGTTATGTACCCTCCCTGGGAGATTGAATCCCCTCCCCTATTTACCATTGCCACGTGAAAACTAATAATCACATATCTAAACCATATTTCAGACCTTGAGCTTTAGACTTATATCCAATTGCTTGCCAGATACCTTTATCTGGATGCCACATAGGTACCTCAAGCTCAACATGCCCCAAACAGAGCCCATCATCCAGCCCTCAAACCTGCTTCTCTTCCTCTTGTATTCCATGTCTCAATAAATGGTACCATCATCTACATAGCTCCTATTTTTTTTTTCCTTTTTGTCTTTTTTCGTGACCGGCAACGGATCGCAACCCTCAGTGTCGTGCCCGTACCGGACCGGGACTGGCAACGGGATCGCAACCCTCGGTGTTGCGCCCGCACCTCGCTCAGCCAGTGAGCGGCTGGTCTGTACGTGGGATCCGAACTCTTGGCGGGAGCGCCGCCGCGCTCCCAAGCGGAGCACTGCAGCAGTGCGCCACTGGGCCGGCCATACATAGCTCCTTAATTCTGAAATTGTCAGTCAACAAGTTCATTGAGTTTAGCTCCAATATTTCACCGATCTGTCTAGCTTTCTCAATCCGTACTGTGATACCTTAGGTTCAGCCATTATCATTGCTTGTTTATGTAACCTGTATAAAGTTGAACAGCTTCACATTCCATCTCATCACAGAGTTATATCCCACAAAAGTATCAGCTGAACATCGAAGAAAAGCACTGGAAAGCAATCTCTTGAAAAGGTGCTCATCATTCATATATTGATATGTTTTGTCCCTGTTGTTCTTGTATTACTTCAACAGCCTCTTAAATAGCTTCCTGTCTCTAGCACTGTTTTCCTTCACTTGATTCTCCATACTACGTTTAGAACGATCTTTTAAAAATGCATTTCCATGCTTAATACTATCTTAAAAATGTATTTCTCTGCTTGATGCTATTATTGGCTCACCATTGTCCACTGAATAAAACCAAAACTCTCATTCTCTCACTGGAATTTAGTATCACCACATTTAATATGTAGTTTGTTCTCTGTTGGCAAACTGTGTCCAACGAGTCTCCCATGGTAGACTGTATGTTCTTTGAACATGCATGGTAAGTGCTCAGCAGGCGTAGTTAGCATATATACCTGTACCAAAAGGACACTATGGTGAAAGGAATATGGAGAAGTGATGAGAAACGAAGCTACAGAGCTTAGGTCCTTGCTATGGTTTGAATGTTCCCTCCAAAACTCATGTTGAAACTTAACCCCCAAAGTGGCAGTATTGAGAGGAGGGGACTTTAGTAGGTGATTGAATCATGAGGGCTTTGCCCTTATAAATGGATTAATACATTCATGGGTTAAAGGATTAGTGGGTTAATGTACTAATGGGTTATCATGGGAGTGGAACTGGTAACTTTATAAGCAGAAGAAGAGAGACCTGAGCTAACACACTGTTGCCCTCTCACCATGAGATGCCCTGCACTGCCTCAAGACTGCAGAGAGTCCCCACCAGGAAGAAGGCCCTCACCAGATCAGATGTGCCCCCTTGACCTTGGACTTCTCAGTCTCCAAAACTGTAAGAAATAAATTTCTTTTCTTTATAAATTACCCAGTTTCAGGTATTCTGCTATAAGCCACAGAAAATGAACACAGTTCTTCACCATTTCACCCCCATTTAGCTCTCTAGCTTCATCTCTCATCACCCTTCCATATTCTTTTCACCATAGCGTCCATTTGGTACAGGTGTATATGTTACCTGTGCCTTCTGAGAACTTACCATGCATGTTCAAAGAAAATACAGCCTGGGGCTGACCCCGTGGCTCACTCGGGAGAGTGTGACACTGGGAGCGCAGCGGCACTGGGAGCGCCGAGGCTGTGGGTTCAGATCCTATATAGGGATGGCCGGTGTGCTCACTGGCTGAGTGTGGTGTGGGCGACACCAAGCCAAGGGCTACGATCCCCTTACCGGTCACAAAAAAAAAAAAAAAAAAAGAAACATACAGCCTACTGTGGGAGACTAGTTAGATACACAGTTTGCCAACAGAGAACAAATTACATATTAAGTGTGGTGATACTGAATTCCAGTAAGGGAATGAGACAACAGTGAGGACTAGAATCATCAGGAAAGGTTCCCATGGAAGAGGTGAGGTGTGAGGAGGGTAGAGACTGGAGTCTGGACCTGCAGAGGTAATTCCAGACTGGAAGAATGGGGCAGTGAAAAGCAGGCCTCTAATAAGGGTGGAGGGTGATAATCCAGCCATTGAGGTAGAGATCAGTGTAGACTCTCTGTTCTGAGCCAGTCTGGGTGGACAAATTGTAGTTATTCTCTAGTGTGCCTCATGCACAGAATAGGCAATGGTGGACAGCACAGAGGTAGCTGCCAAATAATTTGAACATGAAGCCTGCTTTCTTTCCCAGTAAATTCTGTTGGCTTCTAGCATTGCCCTCCCCTCATTCCATGCAACTCCTCCCTCCCCAAAAACCTACCATGTCTCTAAAGTTGAAGTTGTATAAGGAAAAGTAAAGGGGGGTTCTTTAGGGAAATAGAGGCTGGGAATGGAATGCCATAGGGAAAACGTGATTCTCTCTCCTGGTTACCAGGGCTCCTTTTCAGTGGGCTGTATTGCACACCAACCTGAAAGGGATGAGGTAGATTTTATGGTGGCAATTATGGTTGAAAAGCGTCATGTGAAAAAGAACACTTCTCATGGTGATGCAGATTGTATGTTTGCTCTATTTAGACAAAGAATTCTCTTTTCAGCATAACTTTTCCATACAGAAACAGATAAGTTGTTTGGAGTCGACTGATTGCAATACTCAGTGCCCTATTTTAAGTTAAAAATAGCCCACAAGTGAATCATATACTTGCATCTTTTCTCTTCCCCCATCCCCCATGTAAATATATTCACACCCTTCCTTATTGCCATAAATAATGCTTCTTTTCCTTGTCTTCTGCAAGATTTTGAATCATGGAAAGTTGGATTGCTCTGGGACTTGATAGCCAGAACCACTCAAATCTCTATTAAGAATGGTTTGTTCATTTGGTCAGTTTTCTAGGCCTTCTAACTCCTCGTTTTACATCTGTAGTTGACTATATGTGACCGTTTCCTGAGTTTCTGGGGTGAGGCAGGGACATAGAGAGAGGAAACCCCAAATAGGCACTTTTCTAGTGTTTTATAAAGATGTGTACTCATGGTGGGTGGAGTGGAAGTAGATATTAGAGCAAATGACTAAAGCAAAGTTTTTGTGTGATGTGTTCATTTTACTTTCCTTGTTATCCTAGATTTCAGGTGGTGTGACAAATGAAGCAACAGAAATATTCTAGCTGTGGGGGATATTGCTGGTTTCTTGCCCAACAGCAATCCTTTATTCCTTGCTAATAGAACCTTGATTTTAGCTCAATAATTAGGTAGCAATATGTTCAGGGAAGGTGCTCCAGTTCCAGAGGGTCTGAATCCATTATGGAAATCCCATTTCTCTTTCACCAGTGACTGGTGAGAGCATGGGCATGTGACTCAATTATGACCAGTGTGACACAAGAAAGAAATCTGCTGGCATCTTTGCCCACCTTTGGTCATCTCACTATGTGAGGTAATTAAACCTTATTTATTTTAGTTTGTTAACATTTTATTTTATTTTAATTAGTCAATATATAATGTAGTTGATTTTCATGTCCCTTTACCAATTCCTCTTTCCCCTCTCCCCCTCCCCCACATCAACATCATATCTGTTCACTTGTTTTAATAAGATCAAGGAATTGTTGTGATTGCTGTGAGAAAATTTTATTAAGTGAAATAAGCCAGGCACAGAAAGAGAAATATTGCATATTCTCACTTATTTGTGGGAGCTAATAAAAATAAATAAGTAAATAAGTAAATATACAAACGAACGGGGTGGGGGAAGAAGACACAATAAACCTTATTTTTTAAACTGTGCTTAAACACGTATTTTATTACTTGCAGTCAAAACCATCCTGATATGATAATCAATTCAAAAACTTTCAATATCTACCTTGAAAAGATTAATAATCTATCTCATCAGAGTCATAGATTTAAGGAGTGTTAGAAATTGAAAGTCCCTTTGAAGACTGTCTTGTCTATTTCCTTTATTTTACATACCAACTTCTTGTGCCCACAGACTAAGAAAAACATTCATAGAGTGCTGTGCTGTGCTGTGCTGTATGCTCTATAATCTCTCCACATGTCAAATACATTTTTTAGAATTGTGGTAAAATCAGAATTTTGGACCCAATGAGAGCTACACTGAATTTTCTCTTTTATTCTCACTGGCTAAAAGCTTTCCTAAATAAATGTAAAATAGATCTCAGAGGAAATATTGCTTTTATTTCAGAAAACTTTCAAACACCCTAGAAATGGCTATTTATATAGATAGGCATGAATGACAAATCATGCTCATATATTCATCAAACAAGATTTCTGAATACCAGATTTGAGTTATTGTTTTGTTTTAAAATAATAAAATTACATACCTTAAAAAATATTCAATAAATGAGATTGGGCTTACCCTCTAATTGATTCAAATCTGGGAGAATTTAATTGTTATGCCAACATTCCACTTAGTGTCACTCCCATTCTAGTTTACCATTTTCTCCCAACTAAGTTTTTCTGAGGAGGAAAAAGTCACTTACATGGAGAGAAACTTCCGTTATCTGGTGTTATAATAGGTACACCAGGCTTCCTTTCTACCTAATTTCTGTATGAGAAAATTGTTTTCCATTTCCATGATGCCAAATGGCGATAACACTTGAAAACCAGTGGTGCCTACCTGAGTGATGTCCATTCCTGAGTCACAGCTCAGTGGCTGTGTGGAAGTCAGACCGTTTGAGCCGATTATAGTTGTGATCACAGCATTCTCATCAATTCTGCGAATCATAGTCCCATCCACAAAGTAAATGAATCCATGCTTATCAACTGTGATGCCTGTTGGGAAAGAGCAAATGAGTATTAGTAGTCTAGTGGGCCACATTTGCACTACGATCAGTACTTTGAAAGAAGCCATAGAAATGGAAAAGCATTGTAAAGACATATGAATTCAATTTTGCTGGGCATAGACAGGATAGTAATGGGAGAGGTTTGTTGGGGCACACATTCCCTTCTTCATGTAGGGAGAAGAAATGACAAAAAGTAACATGTGGAGATAAAGCCAGGTCTAATAATTTTGTTTTGTTCAGTTTTACATTTCCACCCTCTTGATATTTGCTTACCCCACAAACAGAAAAAAAAAAATTCTCTTTTAGATAAATGGTTTGAAAAGACAGGGGAGGCTGTGTGTGTTAGACTTCTTTCACGGTGCAAATGCACAGGCCACTGCTTATTTTCATGGTTGCATTAGGAAATAACTGACTTGGAAAGCATTACACTTATTTCATCAATTTACATTCAGTTAACAAGGAGTTTGTAATAATTCCGATAAACTAGGCTAAGTTTTTTTCCTTGTATTATCTATTAAAAGGGGAGAGTTGGAAAGCAAAATTATGGCATTACAAAAGGAATGACTAAGCTTCTAGGAAAAATAAAAGCCAATAAAATTTTCACAGTAGTTTTTACACACTGTGTTAATTACAGTCTGGTTTCTTGGAAACTATATCATAATAGCAGCTAGAAGGCTTGGGTTCTAATACCGATTACACCATTTAACAACTGATGTGTGACTCTGATTGTGTCATTTGTCTCCAAATTTCAGCCTCTTCTTTGGTGAAATAGGGAAAAGATGATTTGCCTTACCTATCCGAGATGACCAACTGTTCTCGTTTGCCTAGGACTGAGTCAGGGCTGTTTTAAAATCAAGGAAGTCCTTGACAAACTGGGAAGAGCTGATAACTCTACGCCTAGGTTGTTATATCATATGAAATAATACATGTAAAAAGCATCAGACACACATGAAGAACTTATGGCTCAACTCCTGCTTCCCTTGGTGCTGCTTTTGACAGTGCTCTTGAAAATAACCACATGGCATTACTTTCAAACTAGTCTACAATTTAGTCTTTTCCTTAGTGAAACTCATTGAGTGTATGTTAAAATTAGGAACTTCTGTGCTAACAAGCATGTCCATTTAATACAACATAATACACACACACACACACACACACACACACATTTTCCTGGCAAAATGTGAACTCATCTAAAGACAGTTTATAAACCCAACTTAATAAACTGCTTTTAGATGAGCTAATTCGTTGGCAGGAGGTTAATATTAAGACTCAGCTTTATGGTGTACTTTGATTAATCCTGATGTTCCTCATGAAGTATTAATCGTTAACATCTATAAAAGTTACAGATTTGTTTTAACTTCCCCTGAATACCTCTAAAGTCATCTATGTTTTGGTGATTTCTCCAAGGAAACCAACATGTCCAAACAAGAGAATTCCATGTCAACAAATCCCTTTATCATTTCTAGAGGCATGCAGACCTTTAAAAAGGTTTATAAAAAGACTTTTAAGATTGGGGCAGGCCAAATGATGATGACACATAAACATTTATTTCATCTCCAGAACATTTCAGCTGAAGACGAACCAAGGGGAGCCTCTGCTTTTTATTTTTGCTTGTGTTTTGGCAAAATCAATTTCTTGACTTCCTAGATGATTTAGGACCACCTTCTATGATCTCTATATTAAATATCACTGAGTGTGAAATTCAAAATTTGGTTGTCATAAGAGGATGGACTGAAAGATCAAGACTCAACTCTGGAAAGAGAAAAGCTGAGAGTAGATGTGCTCAAGGTATATGAAATCATGAATCACTCACTTCACACATACTTAATGCCACCATGGTTCTGTGAGGGCCAAAGGACAAAGAATCTGAGTACATTGAAACTAAGATTAAAAGGAATACCCTGAAACTTTAGTAAGTGAAGGGTATGAAAAACAAAATGAAGTGTTGCTTACTAGGAGGCAGTAAATTTAGAGAATCTGATCCTCTGAAAATCTGAGCAGGTTCACAAAAGGTATAGAAAAATAAACGCATTCTTTATCAGTGTACGTGGGGAGGCCTTTTACATTTTTATGCTGACATCAGGGAGGACAATTGTGTTCCTTGACTACCACACTTCTCATTAGAATGCGAAGTTTGGGCTGATCCAGGGAGTATAATCCTGGACTTTACATGGTTTTCTCACTTTTAATTTTTGCGAAGTTCTAAACACTGTGAGCCTCTCTCTCTGCTCATGTCAGGTGAGTTCCACAGATGAGTGCCCTTTGAAAAAAGTCTGGGCTTATTAAATACTCACTATTTGCCTTCAGGGCTTATTCTGCTGACAGTTTGTAGAATATTCTCCTTTCATATATTTGTGTAGCAACTTCCTTAATCATGGTCCAAATTCCAAGCATACTCCTTTTCCCCTGAGACTCTTTAACTTTGGGTGGGTTACACTTATGTTTGGAGTTGAAAAAGGCTTTGAGGGAACTGTGTGATCGGTGCTTTATAAATGCACCTAGGCATACTTCATATATACATATTTCCCTCTCATTTTCCTTCCCTTTCCAACCAACCCACACACACACACACACACACACACACACACACACACACACACACACACACAAATTCTCCAAACAAACTGATCACTGGTGAAGTTTAAGCAGTATTTAATTTTCACCAGGGATTAAAAACCAAATTAGAAACCCCAGGCAGGAAAAAAAATTACTTTTGTCCATCACTTGGGGAGGTTTTCCCCTCCCATAATGAGTATTCTTATAGCCCAGGGATAGTGATGATACAATATGATCTATTACTGCTTGTTAGACTGAGTGGGAGAAGGTGACACATGCCCAGTATATTTTAAGCTTTATCCTTCAGAGATGGGGAAGTGAGTGATTTTAGATCACATAAAGCCATCTGGGGCTAGCAAGATATGCAGATTCAATTGACTTTTATATTTTGATATTGTTGCATCCAGATCTCCAAAACTTGGTACCCAAAGTTGTGGGCATGATTTGCTCTAATGGCCATGTCCACTGATGTGCTTACAGACAGCGTTTTCATTATCACTTAAAACACAATTGAAGGCACAGTCTTTAGATAAGAAAAGATTTAAACTGCATTAAGAAAACCACTTCCAGGGTTTAAAATTTTAATCAGCATTTATTTTTAAAGTAGGCAAAAGTATATAGATCTCTGATATTACCACGAGGTTAGTCAGTGTTACAGGGGCAGGTGGGGTGGAGGTGGGAAGAAAAACACACAACTTGGGTTCCCGCACTCACCCGCCCCTCCACAGAGGAGAACATTGGGCTCAGATGCCCAGACAGCATGTTTAGCTTGAAGCACATTTTTACATTTGTGAGAAAATAAATAAATCCTTGTAAATTAGTGCATATAATGAAAGCACTGACAGACCATAACCTGGAAGTGTGAATGGTCCTGTCTCCATTCATCAGCATTAAGTCCTAACAAGCTCTTTCTGTGGAGGGAACTGCTCATAAATAAAGTGCATCTTGTAAAAAATATTATTCACAACGTCTTATGCAAAGCAGGGGACATTATATAATATCTGAACTGCAGGCTCTTTTCTCTGTGAAGCTTCACTCTGTTAGAAACAGCTGCAAATTACAAGCAAAATTATTTGACTTCTTCCCTCATCTCATTATCTTCCAATGAATAAACACTATAATTCTTAAGAAGACAATTGCCCAAAGCTGGGGCAGCCTGGATAGTTACTAATGAATTTATCACCTGTTGGGGAAGAGGACGCTGCTGATCGATACTGAAGAAACAGGAGCATCCTGATGTGATCACAGGGAGCCAGATGTGTGGCTTAATAGCCTGGATATAGTGGCTAAAATCCCAAATTAGGTAACAATAAAGATCAGAGTTTTGGGCTATGCAGATTGCCAATTTCAAATGTTGGCAGAAGGCATCTTTGTACTTAATTTTTAAAAATTATAGCTGTTGAGGCCACCTACATTTTTATTATTTCTATAGGAAAAATTAAGCTTCTTTCAGAATATAAGCTTTGGAAAGTAGACATAAAATTCTCCTCCAGCAAACTGAAACTGAAATACTGAATGTTTTTTTCTGCCACAATCTCCTCTTTAATTTCTGAGACAGAGATAAATGGTTAAAATCAACTTCCAGGGAATGTCCTAAGCTCAATTTGGCATTATCTGAATCTCCAATACTGAGAGTGCTGAATTGTGTAACTGACATTAGCCAGTTGATCCCAAAGTGTTCCTTAAGTCAGAGAGATTAAAATATTTTGCTTTGTTCCCGTGTATCCCCATTCTCTGAAAATTTGTATCGTATGTGTGGTATACATGGAAACTCTGCACTAGGCAGAAAAGTCCATTTTCCAACACATCTGACTATAGTCCACTTAATTACCCACTGGGATCACAAAGAGCCAACTTACTTCTGCACAATAAGCTTGTTAAGTTCTCTTGTGAGGTAGCTACTAAATGGAGCTTCTAGAACTTGGAATGTTTACAAATATCTGTGTGTCACTAGGGGTTGTAAAGAGGCAGAGCCTAATGACTAGCTGAGATGATTTCACTGTGTGGTTAACAATGAGATTAGGATTTCTCTAATAGGAGACACTGATAAACTCACTGTAATATTACATGACTAGTGAACAGTGTGTTATTTAATCAGATATTCTGTTTAATAAAAAAGTTACAGTATATTCTAAAACAATAAAGGCCAATTTCCAAAGAACTTAAATCTAAAGTAAAAATGATAAACAGTCAAACTAATATTCTATTGACTGGAATGTCCTCTTGTTTTGATGACTCAGAAGGTACTTTAAAGGGCTTCACGGTCATCATAAGGAACAATAGGTTTGTGGGCTACTTAACCAAGTGCTGTGGATTGAATGTTCCCCAAGCTCATGTTGGAACTGAACCCCCAATATGGTGGTAGAAGGTGGGACCTTTAAGAGGTGATTAGATTGGAAAGACAGTGCCTTCATGAATGAATTGATCCATTCA